TGACAAAATCAAAAAGGGTGACAATGCTTCCCCCCCTCCTCTGGGCTCCATGACTCATTCTACTGCTGCTCCTGGCAGCTTCTTACTGATGTCTTTCAGCCACACCCCTGATTTTAGGATAGATAAGATTGAACACCTAGTCTTCTCGAATAAGGGCAGAAAATTCTTGGGAGGTTCCCCGTGCAAGTTGCACTGATTTAAGATCCCTTGGTGGTCCTAAAATCGACGTGATAAGAGAGGCTTTGGCCGCCACCAGTGCAAAATTCAAAATTATTTCTAACCAAAACATTAAATTGTGGTAAAATTCAGGGGAGCATGCCCCCCTGAAACCCCCCACCATATTTTTAGGGCAGGGGGGCAAGCTCCCCTGAAACCCCCCTACTCTTGTGGCCAAAACCGGCGAATAGAAGAGTCCCCCTTGAACTTCAAATTCAAGTATTCAAATTCAAGTGACATTGACATTGACGATTTAGTAGTTTGAGGCTCTAAGTAGAGCCTGTTCACTAGATCTACCTGACAATGAATGACAATAATTAATGCATTGCGTGCAGGCTAGACAAATCACTGAATCAGTGAAGCAAAGTCCAGCCTGTAAAAACTGCCAGTCTAGCCGTACTTAGATCTAGATCTAGGTTTGGCCCTGCCGACTCGTTAAGTACACAGGTCTCATTTCATTAGATCTAATCTAGATATATCTAGATCTAGATCTAATTCTAGATCTAGTAATTATTCAGGTTCAAATACATGCAAGTCAGTAAGGCACTTTTGGTTTTGTCTGAAATACAAATACTTTAGGCATTGCAAACTAAAAATTTCATTTACAATTCACCCATCAATATTAATTAAGTATGGCTAGCCTGACAGTCTAGCCGTCCACGGCTAGCCAAGAAGTCAAGTCGTACTTATCTTAGGCCCTATTTTAACATTAGAAAACAGGAGGTTTAAAATACATGAACTGTCATTAAAGCACGTGATTTCGTCTCAAATACAAATACTTTAGGTACCGCAAACTAAAAATTTATATTTACAATTCAGAAGGCCTGTCTAGCCATCACATTAACTTAAGACTAAGAATAAGTTCGGCTAGCCCAGCTGTAGCCAACCAGGCTAGCCTCTTCACTGTAAAAGTTATAAGCATTGGCCGCAGTTGAGCCTGCAACTCCAACCAAAAATAAATACAAGTTCAAGGAAACATTTAAATCCATCCAAACCCTACTTGGAATATAACGCCTCGGTGTATGTGAAGGTCAAGAAGCAACTTTTACTTTCGTAAGTTGTCAGTTGTCAGTCAGAACGAAAGCTGAAATAACAGCTGTCCTCAAGAAAACCAACGAAGAACGTAACATTTGTTTGTAGTTTCAACAGTCATGTTATTTTGGAACTCCAAGCAGGCATCGTAGTACCGAAGGAATACGACTTCGTTCGTTGTCAGCTTGGATACAATTTGTTACTGACAAACACATTATTTTAGTCGAGTATAAGTTCTTCATACAGTGTTATTTTATTTTCAAATTAGTATTTATTCATCCACGTTATCTTTATTTTTGTTTAAGTAAGCGTTTTACAGCACTTGCAACACAATTAGGTCATATTAAGTGCCGAAGATTAGGAGTTGTTGCACTAGAATAACAAACACTTTATTGAAGTAGGAGAGATAAGGACAAAAGATGGTTGATAAGAAAGAAGGGCCAAACCACACCAGAACACCCACAAACCACCCACCGTTATCTTTATAAATTCTTTGACAACAACAGCAACAATAACAACGACAGCGCACAAAGCAAAGGGCGTGTGAGCTTCATGTGCGCTCAAGCACGCGTGCGTGCACGTGTGTGTGTGTGGGGGGGGGGGGGGGGGG